TTACTTTTGAGACAGAGAGAGACAGTATGAACGGGGGAGGGGCAGAGAGAGAGGGAGACACAGAATCCGAAGCAGGCTCCAGGCTCTGATCTGTCAGCACAGAGCCCGACGCGGGGCTTGAACTCACGAACCGTGAGATCGTGACCCGAGCCGAAGTCAGACACTCAACCGACTGAGCCACCCAGGCGCCCCAATGAACATTTTATAAATACAAATAAATTCACTGGTACAGAAGGCATAAAACCGGAGGTAAAATCTCCCTTCAGCAGATTCCTTCTAGTTCCACTTCCCAGAGGCAGCCAGTGTTAACAATATTCTCTCTCTCCTTTCCTGTACACACATTTTGTGTGTATAGGAGTGTGTGGGTGTGTTTCACAAACAGAATTTTACAATATTTTATTTTGCAGGTTGTTTTTTTTTCACTGAACTAATAGCTGCCTAGTATTCTGTTTTATGCATATACCAAAATTAGTTTAACCAGTCCCCTTTTTATGACAGTTTTTCACTGTTGTATAGCAATTTTTCACTGTCACAAGCAGTGCTGCAGTGAATATTCTCATATACACATACACATTTTTTTCTTGCACACTTACGTTAGTTTATCTGTAGGATAAATTCCTAGAAGTTGAATTGATAGATCGAAGGATATATGTTCATTAACACATCTGGTGGGCAATGCAAAGCTGTCCTGCATAAAGGCTGCCTCACTGACTTGAGAGTGTCTGTTTCCCCTAGCAACATTGGGTACTATCAAACTTAAAATGTTACTAATCTGCTACATGAAAACTGGTATTTTATTTTATTTTATTTTATTTTATTGTATTTTGGAGTTTTAAAATCACGGCAAGAATAGTGGCTTCCACTTGTTTATTAGCCATTTGTATTCATTTCTTTCGGCTTACTATTTAAATTTTTTTTTTTTTTAATGTTTTATTTAGTTTTGAGAGAGAGAGAGAGAGGCAGAGCGCAAGCTGGGGAGGGGCACAAAGAGGGAGATACAGAATCCGAAGCAGGCTCCAGGCTCTGAGCTGTCCACACAGAGCCCGACTCGGGGCTCGAACTCACGAACCGTGAGATCGTGACCCGAGCCGAACTCAGACGCTCAACTGACTGAGTCACCCAGGGGCCCCATCTTTCAGCTTACTATTTATATCCTTTGTTCATGTTTATATTTCTGTTGAATTTCTTACTCTTTCCTTATGAGCATAATCCTTTTGACTATCTTTTTAACAATTAGTGGTGTCCCATGGAGTAAATGAGCAACAAGAGGGGCAAGGGCTTCTCTGAAAAGAGTAGTTTTAACCAAAGGTGTGATGAGAGGCAGTTTGGGACTGCTTATATGGTCCTCGGGCAGGCAAGGATTCCCAGTGTCTCTGAGAAGGAGGCATTCGTTCATAGATAGAATGATTCTCTAATTTCAGAGTGTGCTTTGCTGTTGTTTAGAGTGTCACAG